TATCACATTTCAAAGCTTTGTCGGAGTCCGAAACGGGTAGATCCCAGTTTTAGCACAAGGATGACACATCACAGATGGCATCCATAGTATTTGACGACATTTATATGAATATGCACGCCGTGTGTTGTCTATCAGAGTTCGTGGCAGAAGCAGTCTTAGATTTGATATATACTCGTCCACCTGTAGATCCTTACGCTGGTTCAAAATTTGCTATTTTTGCAAGAACTACAACAGATACAGCTGCTAAATCACTACGATAACCAGAAAATTTAAGAAAACAAAAGCCCTGCAGAGCGACGTGGTCAGCACATGAGTTAAAAATCATTATCAGCGACTCACCATTAGGGGAATAAACTCGTAGATTAATCGGCAAGTTCGAAATCCCCTTATTCAATCCGGTAACCCGATCGGTCTCAGCTTCAATTTCCTTCCTAACTTCATCGAAGTTGGTAAATTGTTTATTTTTCAGATGGAGAAATTCGGCGTATTCTGGGTAGGTAAGTCGGCAAATCGAACGATCGTACCTGAACGTGCGTTGATTAACTGTAACACCAAAGGTCTACGGGTAACAATCCCGCTACCCCGTGGGAGGAAATCGCTGCAAGAAGGGATAAATACAGATAGCTTCACCTTACCGCCCAACAAAATTTTCCAACACACTGCTTTTTCCCGCACTTTGGCTGCCTACAACTGCTATTTGTGGCAAGTCCAAATTGAGCGGTAGTCCTAGTGAGGAAAAAGCATCTTGCAGCTTGTTTACTAGCGGGATAAGCTGTTCCATTCCAGCATTGCCGGACATTTTGCCACAATCACCGAAGTCGGCCTACAGCACAACAACGCGGTAGACACGACTCCGTGAATACTGCTCTCTCATTGGTTGAAAATCCTAGGTCCAGGCGTTCAGTTCAGTTCAGCTTCGGTCCCGTACTGAACAATTTTTTGGCATATCATTTGCTCCGCTGCATACTCAGGTCTCTCCGGAGATGAATCACACTGCATCCGACTAAAAACGGTGTATCATTTCCTTTAATAAGGTTTCACTCACCTGTCTGCAAATTAGGCCTGCTTGTTCAAGCAATCATTGTAACAGGACCTGCGGTCGCTAAATTTCTCGGAGAATACAGCCATAACACTCTTTTGAGGAACGTGGATAACGGGCGTGATCAAGCGTTCTCAAACAAATGTATTGTAGAGCATAAAAGTTTATGAGCCACAGTTGGAAATCAGGCATATTGAAGAGGTATTAAACGAGACGAAATGGCGTGATTTCTCTCCAAAAGGCAAAATTCAGCCTAATCACAGGCCGATGTAGTCGGATTTAAATAAGGACCGGTGTTCTCATTTCCGCCTACTGGTTTGTAGCTACTACACACATTCAAATCCCGACAGATCTATAAAGCGAACTTCACCGAAGCTTGAATAGAAGTTTCACGACTGAAAACATCACAAACGAGAGATTCAGCTGGGTTCCGGGTGAGTCTGTCGCATAACCAAATATGTTTGCAAATGACTGCATTTCGCTTAGTTTTATGACACTTTTCCGGAGGTCTTCATAGGTCTGTTGTGGCCTTAAAAACTATGACGACCGTTTGGTTCCGTGGCCAAACTTCTTCAGTGTCTTTGAATGCCCCGTGAAACTTTTCGCTTTCCTCTTATCTACTAGCTGCCCGCTCTCAAAAGAAAACTCATTTCAAGGACTACTTAAATGATGGAGTTATAGGACCGTGTGATAACATGTAACTGCACCTCAAACACTCACTTGCACTCTCTGTCATTTCCGAGTGATAAGGGGTAGTTGTAAGCTCAGTTATCGACCAGCTGACGGTATAATCGGCCGCCTACGCAGCCTTTCCCGATACATTACTGCAGGCTGGAGGTAGCAGCTGGGACTCTTCCTTAGGAAGGTACAAAAAAAACACTCCAGTTGTTTCGATGATACTTGCTTCCACCCGCTCCAGCAATTGTAATGAAACCTGTATTTTTCTATTCGTAACGTAGCATGGGACACAGCGTATTCACGGATTGATACACAGGATCAAGGCTTTAGCCCAAGTTTCCCGGGTCGGTTTTGTTTTAATCCTTCGGTGGCTGTCGTTCTCATGGAAGGCACAAGTGATAAACGTGTCCTCATTGTGGGGCATTATGATTGCCAGCGCGAGGATTCGAATAAATAAGTGTCTAATAGTGCTTTGAACTGGGTTCTAGAAGGAGCGTATACAACCGCCAGGAGAGGGTCATTCCACACAATGAATGTGTGCTCTCTGAGCTTGAAAATCTTCCAACCATGTTCCCGCCGTGTGCTTGCCGGGCCAACAGTGGAAAACCTGTTGGCCAAGCTTGGTTCAAGCAGGGCATAAGTAAGATTTAGTTCACCTCGGAGACGAGAATACTCCGGGGGAAAAGGTCAAGCATCACGAGATGCTTTTCATAGTCCACAGAATTGTGACCCACAATCATTTTCGTAGTGGCTCGCTGGACACGTGTCCACAGAAGACCCACAATCATTTTCGTAGTGGCTCGCTGGACACGTTCAATGGGGGTGACGTCTTTCGTGCGTCCTGAGTAGACAGCTAGCTTGGCGTACTTCAGGAGCGGTCTGACGTAG